CTCCTTCTCGTCCTACTCTAAGCCCCCCCCTTCACCTCCTACACGCTGCCGCCCTCTCGGATTTGTACCGCTAATCTCCCCCCGCCCTCTCCAGAGTGTCCCCGACCGCCCGAACCGAGCGGGTCCGTCTCCGACGTTTGCGTTATCACCCTTAATATATATATATATAATATTGTAAGCTATCAATCGGGATGCTTTATCACACACACATACACACACACACAACACGTCACTCCACGCGTCTACGCCTTCATCGTATGATTATAACCGTCCACCAGCGCGCGTTATTTTAATATTATTATTATTATTATTATTATCATTAATAAGGCAGAGTTCACATCCGATTCGTATAACGAAGCGTAACTTATAGTGAATTTATAGTCAATGTCTATAATTTTTAGACATCGGGATCTGTGTATCCTCGGCTTAATAAGAACTACATGTGTATTTGTTTATCATGATATTACATAAGTACCGCACGCTCCAGCGTCTAGCTGGTAAATATCACAATGTCTCCAGAGTCCGTATGTGTTTGACGTTAGCTCTCGAGTACATTATTATTATTTTTATACATAAAATATAAACGATTTTCTCCCAAGTTTATTGTTATACTTGTGTCTATTTTTTATATCAATATGTTTAATTGTATTACGTGCGGCAAAGTGTTTACCGTCAAGAGTAGTTTAAACACACATAGCAAAACACATGATGGAATCGAATTTTCGTGTGGTATCTGCTTGATCAACTTCACACGGAGAGACAACCTCGTGAGACACGTTCGAGAAAAACATGGTTAGTAAGCAAAATTATAATGCATAATATATTTCCCCGGGTTAATAATCAAATAAAATATTTTTCATAAGGTCTGGTTGGATATGGGAATGATTTTAATCGGGCTGTGGTGAAAAAAATCGCTTTAGTAACTCCGCTCAATACTCTAGTATCAGGTAATAATATTTATATCAAACCATACTGGTAAATTATTAATCTTAAGTTTTTTTTTTTCTAAATATTTTGTAAAATAGACCACACGTTAAAGCAGTCAGCTGCTGGAGATAGTAATATTATATCTGTTATGAGCGTCCCCTCCACCTCTACTGCCGACAACACGTCGTCATCATTGTCGCCGCCGCCCGTTCACGGTACAGACATTTCTATCTCCAATACGAATGCTACCGCTGCTATCACTACGAGCTATCCTATAGCTAACAAGCGCTCTATCGTATCGCGTAAACGTTACAATGATAATTCTGTGAGAAATGTGAAAAAAAAAGAAAAACCGTATGACCTCATGTGTATTCAATAATAACGGACCCGGATTTCGTGAAATCGACTCGTCTTTTTCCCGCACTGTAGTATGGTATTTTAGAAAAAAATGTAGATAATATAAATAATTATCGTGTTTTTCTTAAATCTATAAAAGCGGAATTGGTTGACAGACTACGCGAAAGTGTAATTTCTCATCCGATAAAATACAATTTGAAATTAGAATCTACATATGTTATTCCACATGTACAATTGTCGGCTGAGAATCGGTCATTTAAGACGTGCGCACAAGAGCTGTTTATACATAGTGACGTAGAGACTGTAGTAGAAGCAGATTTTTCAAAACTCCTCTCAGAAGAAGACGAGTACATGACAAAGGGGAGTGGATTTACGTTATCGTGTATAGACGGTGTCCTTTTGGGGGTGTATAAATACACTCCTTTAGGCGGTTGTTCTTATATTCCGTTACCGGAAAATATAGAGAAGAAAAAAAGTACAATAAACCCGCAGAATATCGATGAAGAGTGTTTTAAGTGGGCGATTCTCGCAAAACATGTGAAAAATAATACTCGTAAACGGGTCGGTTCGAATTATTACGATGAAGAACATAGATATGACTTTTCCCAGATAACAACGCCCACACCTATATCTGATGTAAAATTATTCGAGCGCTGTAATCCTAATACTTCCGTTAACGTGTACGGATTATTTAATAATATTAATAATAATAATAATAATAGGTCATCTAAAGACATCGTACATCCGATAAAGGTCTGCGATACAGAGAAAGAAGATCACTTCGATTTATTATTCATAAACGACGTAGACACGGGGAAAAGTCACTATTGTTATATATCAAATTTTACGCGGCTTATAAGCGATCAAAAAAATAGACATGAACATCGGTTGTTTATATGTAAAAAATGTTTTACGACTTTTAACAATCAACCGTTAAAATATAGATTATACGGTAAAGAGGCGCTAACGGCACACAAGAAAATATGTAAGGTACACCGAGCAATTGTCCCCGTAATGCCACAGGAGGGGGACATACTAAAATTCGAGGGTTGGCGTAAAACTCAAAGATTACCGTTTGTAATCTATGCCGATTTTGAAGCGCTTTTATTGCCTATTGAACAACAGCACGGATCAAACACTCGAACGTTTCAACAACATCGTGCAATGAGCTATGGATTCTTAGTAAAGGTAGGCGATCACGTGCCCGCAGAATTACTCGAACAATTCGAAATTCCGCGGTCGGTCGTAGTTTACCGCGGATCTGAGAACGCCGATGATGTAGCTAAACAATTTGTTATGGCCGTGACCAGTATAGCGGAGAGGATACACGAGCTTCTTAGTAAAACAAACGTTCCGATTGTTATTACCGACGAGCAACTGCGTGTTCACCATACAAAAATACATTGCGAACTGTGCAAAATCAAGTTCTCGCATGGAAACCGCCTAGTAGTACACCATGATCATTTAACGGGAGAGTTTTTAAAAAGTCTCTGCAATAATTGCAATCTTAAACTGGTAACGCAAAACTTTGTTCCGTGTTTCATACACAATTTATCGAGATACGATCCACACTTCATCGTTACAGAACTGGGATACAACGAGCAACGTATCTCGGTAATTGCTAACAGCGAAGAAAATTATATATCATTTTCCAAATATATCGATAATAACTTCTCGATCAGATTTGTTGATTCTTGCAGATTTATGGCGTCAAAACTGTTCACACTAGCTGAAAATCTGATAACAGATGATTTTGCAAAGTTCGGTGTAATTTCGAAAGTTTTCAGCTCCGACGAGATGCATCTAGTTATCAGGAAAGGCGTGTACCCCTACGAATATACCAACAGCTGGCAACGATTGAGTGAGACGAGACTGCCTGAGAAAAAACATTTTTACAGTACATTACTTGAAGAACACATTGAGCACGAAGAGTATGAACACGCAACGCAGGTATGGACTCACTTTAATTGTCAGACTCTAGGCGATTATAGTGATCTATACCTGAAGATAGACGTATTGTTACTGGCTGACGTGTTTGAAAATTTTCGCGATCTCTGTATTTCAACGTATAACCTCGATCCTTCAAATTATCAAACATCACCAGCGTTAACATTTGATAGCATGTTGAAATACACGAGGATAGAGTTGGAGCTCGTCAGTGATTACGATAAATTACTCATGCTTGAGACGGGCATAAGAGGTGGTCTAGTCCAAGCTTCTCGACGATTTGCTCGATCCAACAACGAAAAGACTCCGGGGTTTGATTGTAATCAACCAAAATCGTATCTCGTTTATCAAGATTGTAAATATGATTTTTTTTTTTTTTGAAAAAATTAATCTTTAACTTTCAAGACATTTTA